ACTAGTAGATAAAATGCCACTATTCATGTGTATAGTTACCAGAAAATATGAAAATATTCTATACGAGCGGCTTTAGTCCCTAAATCATACATCACTTTAAGCTATATAATTACATGCTCAAAGCAATTGATTTACATACATTACAAAAATTCATAAAACGCGTAGTAGCAGTAAGTGACGATTATTGGGAAAGGAAGCAAGCTTACCTTGCGTTTTCGACACACCAAATTTGCAGTGGTTATCAGTTGGATTGCATAACGTAAGGATGTCTGCATACCGATTCGGGTAAGAACGACCAGCGCGTCTTCCGAAATATCAACATCCTCTTCTTCACAACGAATCTTCAAAATTGCTTGGATTTCTTTGTCTGTATATGAGTCAGTTGAAATGATGAGGAGACGATCAAGAAGATCAATAGGTATTCCGTGTGGGCTCTGATAATTAGTACCACGAATTCTTTAAAATTTTAAAAGAAATGGCAACGAACAAGTTGATTCAGTTCCTTATCAACGAGTTATAGTCAGTTATAAATAAGTGATCAAGCTGTATTACATAAAACACTAGAAAACGAAGGCAATGTCAAGGGAAGTAAATAAGACTATGACGAAGGCAACTAGACATTTAGAGTGACAATCAAAGACTGCCGTGCCATTTGACGAAGTCAGATACATCACGAACGAATAAAACAGGACAGGATAGCGTAATGTTAAATTATTAAGCTTTACAAGAACACAAGGTGAAAAGTAAGTTATGGAAATTTAACCAATCTAACGATACAATGAGGGATATAAATAAAACATAGAGATCAAATACAAAGAATTGAGATTCAAAATCCTGAATTTATGGGATGGTCCATTGGGTTTGCAAAGGTCATGTAATATTAAAATTTTAATGCTGAATACTTTGTGTTCGGTTTTATAAGGGAAACAGTTGTGATTCAATAGACGTTACTTCAGTCCTTGCCCCCGAATGCCCTGGTACGACCGAGGGTGGGGAGAGTGCACTCTTCCTCTTACAATGCTCACATGACCACGCGTATACAGACATTATCAAGGAAGTTCTACTCTCTGCCTTTTCATGACAGGGGTGTTATTTACGAAATTGGGAGGACCAAAAGCGACTGTTCGGAGCTTTAACCAGGTTGGTGGATATATAGGACCCATCTAGGGGAGTTGTAAAACCCTGATTCCAAACGAATGGTGCACATGGGCTTCAGTATCCTGAAGGAACAAAAAGCGTATGAACCAATTGTTGGTCACCGGCTACCATGTGACTGCATCTCCTTACGTTGCTCCACTGCTTTGTGGATTAGACCTTTATGTCAAGGGCTCGGGAAGTGATCCCTAGGAAAACCATCTGCTTCGGTTTGGGCGCCCGACCAGTATCCAATCCCTCATAAATCGAATGATGAATTGTGGCGTATATGTATTCGGTTCCTTCTTGCACCAATATTTATGTGTTTGAATATATAAGTAACTTCAGTTCTTAGTAATCAACCAGTTGAGGAATCCCGACAACTTTAAAATCAGTCTTTCATGTAGCAATCAGTTAGCTAAAGTGCATCATATCAGATCAATTAATAAATTTAATGTCGCTCATTTATTTGCTCTAAAGAAGTGGCATACATGAAGTCATGAAACGTCAGAAATACAGTTTTCCTACTCATTGGGATATAACAAAAATATATTTATTATTAAGTCTCTTCTCAATTTATTTGAAACTACCAAGCCCAACCTTGGTATGGATACCTATATCAGGTCAAACTATGGAAACAACAAATTTACAACTGTGGTTATCGATTAATCAGGGTTTCTTGGAGGAAATCCTAAATTCTATTTACCTCATTAGCATCAGACGCTATCAGGCAAAACTTAGAAAAGAAGCGAGAGGCAAAATTGTTCAAACTTTTGTTTACATTCTTTAAAAAAATACATCGTAACTAAATGAAGTCAACATAAAATGCATTCTAGATCGAAATGTACTCTTCAAGAAATTGTAGTATTGTTAAACTATACATTGTCTTTAGACAGATGCATGGATTATGTAGGGGTAAACTTGACAAAATCATAAGTGCACTTAGAAAGACTTTCTGACCCACAGGGTCCGCCACTTTTGAGTAAATAGACCCAACAATTAGTGACTGCTTTAGGTGGGCAGTCGTATAATATCACTAGTCCAAATAATAAACATGGAGTGAAACCAAAAACATTCGCAAAGCCTATTTCATTTTGAAGATAAAGTGAAGAGATGGTAATTGCAATCCGTTTACAGTTTTATTCTGACAGGTTTCCAGTCGGTCAGTCAGTAACAACGTAGAACTTCGTACGTACGTACATCAGTTCGAGTTGCCACACCACATTAGCACAGAGATGCAGTGATCGATTCAAATCCCGTAGTGGTAGAGGTAATAAGAGTATAAGCAGTAATCGGGAAGATTAGGGTTTGGAGATGTTATTCAAGGAGTATAATCCAGTGAAATAAATTTGGAAAGAGGAAAAAAGGGACATGAAGAATTCAGAAGATTAGAATTTGGGAGAACACAAAGAGTGTATGCACCTGCGCCATTGCAAACGATTTTGAGCCATGTCATTCAGGGTCTCTAACCATCGGTTGCTATCATCTCGCGGTCCCCAACCACGTAGTCTGCACCTACCAACATGACTCAGTTCACTTGTCAGTGACTTTATGGACTTGTGCCATGTTTTGGTTTGGCCGCCCCTAGCTTTCTTCCAACCTACTTCTATACCACTGAACATCACACGTCGAGGCAGTCGGTCGTTGGACATACGTAACACGTGTCCCAGCCATCTCAACTGATGAAGTTTCACTACTTCATCAATTGATTTTCCATCCTTACCTAGTACCCGTGTCCTAACAACTGTGTTACTTACTCGATGGTCCCAGGATATACGAGCAATGTTTCCAAAGTCATGCTGTTTCTGAGAGCTACATAGATGTAATAACTAGTATATGAAATACTTATTTAAATTCAATGGGGAAAGTCAGTTAGTTATAAACAACGTAAAACCTAGCACATGTATACATCGGTTCGAGTTGTGACAATGACAAATGCCATATAAGGTCAGTAATAATGAAGGATATGAAGATAACGTAATTTACCTTGTGATACCTCTGTTTGTTGCCACAATTAACACAGGGGCCATGTCAGATTCAAGGGCTCGATTAAGAAATGAGAAGCATTCAATATCCAACATGTGCACTTCGTCAATAAACAGGACCTTCAAGGGGAAAGAATATGTGAATAGACACGCTACTGAATAGAAAAACAAAGAGCAATTAACGCGACTAAAATCGGATAAACATGCCAAATTAGGAAGATCGTTTTTCGGACTGTAGGAAACAGCCGTGAATGATTTTAGTCGCGATAGTTAATAACAGGTAAAGGACTTAATCACTGACTGGTTGGGGTAAGACTATAATTTATGGACGACCTTTGAGTGTCCACCTAATAGCGAGGATCAAATGAGGGTTGTAAACCAGTGTGGGGAGTTGGAATTGTGGTTTACAGTTGATGGTTAAGGTTAAGAATGCAACTTACGTTTGTTATTACGAACTGATATCAGCTGTAATGCCAAAACTCTATTTAACTAAATGGATGAACGAATTCCGCGTCTAATCCGAGACCTGTTATCTTATACCAGATTGGTTCGTCCATAAATTAGTCTCACCTCAACCATGCTTCAAACATTATGTGCGAATTGTACATTATCCATTTAGAAAGCATTTAGGAACGGTTAAAACACGAATTGGCGAAATAATAACGCATAACTGTTAAGTAGTATAAGTGAAAAACGTGACTTACACCAGGAACTATTTCTGCCTTTCCTTCCTCCCTCCATTCAGCTACTTTGTGATTAATTTGATCCCTAACCTCCGACTTTATTTCACCGGTATCTCCACTGAAGAGGGCAAGAAAACCCTGAGTCCTGCTGTTAATTACGTCGATTTCGTGTAAAGTAACAGTATGAACAACTTCTTTTCGTTTTTGCAATTCACCTTCCGGACACTGAATAAACTTTGTTTGACCACCGGTAGCATCGTAGTCTCGAGCCCTGGTAAACGACCGACCTAGTCTTGTTATTTTTCCAGAGGGTTTATCAATAGTAATAACATCACTAAAAATTGAATATAGTTAGTAGGAAATTACCCAGCTTGAACTTTTTCCTTTGTTAGGGACTCGATCATTTTTTGACCTAGATCGTAAACTGTCTCCATCTCAGTTGTCTTAAGCGTTAGTTTGCCTATTTTTGCGCCTGTTCCAGTTGCTGGGCGGTCTATTAAGACTTCGACAACTTCTCCTTCAATTATTTCGGCTTCCTCTCTGAGGATATTATAAGAAAAGTATAACTTACTTGATCCGCACGCCAATTGATTTTCTAAATGCTTGAGTAAGAGCTTCTGTCTTGCTCATTTCTAATGAGAATATTTCACTACCAGCCATTGCAGTGAATGGTGTGTCATGACCAAGTGCCTGAGCCATACCCATAGCAATTGCAGTCTTGCCTGTACCAGGTGGACCAGCAAGAAGTATGGCACGCCCAGCGATTTTGCCCTCACGAATCATACCCAAGATAAGGCCAGCTGCTCTTCTTGCCTTACATTGGCCAACCATGCCCTGAGAGATCTGTCGGGCTTCAAGATCGTCATTTAATCCCAGACCACGAATATGTGAGTGAGCTCCTATGCGCTCAATACGCGTAATTTCGCGAGCCGCCGCCTCTTGAACTGTTGCAGTTAACTAAGAAGTTATCAAAAAGTATTTACATGTGTCAGTAAAACACTAAAAGAAAAGAAAACACAACCTAGCAACCAGACGCTGAACTTACGTTGACCATTTGTACGTCGCTCCCCTCGAAAAACGATTGATATAAATAATTCCTCGCCTAATTTTATTACTCATAAGTAGTAGTATTAAAATTACTGATATAATTAATAAATAACATAAAAATACCCAATACATAAATTTCGTGAATTCAAGCACATAAGGTATGCGTTACAGTATTCATAGGTTGTGCTATTTAATGATTCGAATATTTACCTGACTAACTTTCGCTGACAGTCCAGTATTCTTGCTATTAGCGTGTCGTGTTCAAATAAAAGTATTTACAGGGAATGAACTCGAATAACCGCAATAATCGAGGGAGTACGCGAGAAAAGCTTTACTGAATTCCTCCCCAACTTTTTCTATCTGGCCAATCAGGAAGACCCAAGTGGTGCCATTGCCCAACACTTCTACGCACGCAAAAAGCCAAGTACAGGATATCAGTATCTCAACTAAAGGTTAGTGTATTTTGTACCAAGCTATCATTTTCTGAAATCGGGATGGGCTCCCTCATCCCCCAAACGTTGCATTACGTGTAGTAATTTTCATGGGTAAATGTTACTTTACCCAGTGGCAGCCCATATAAAAACATTTGGGTCCTAAATATATTTAGAGTCTCTGAGGAATTTATAAACACCCTAAATTAATTACTTCCCCAACTCAATAATTTTGTTGTTTGTAATTAGTAGCTTATGACTTCCTAGTGAATTTTCCGGGCTACATTAATCAGTAGGTCTTTGAAAATCTTACTTATTGCTGTCGCATATCCAGTGTATATATGAGAGAAGTAGCTCCTACGTTCTGCACTATTCAACTTCATAATGCCGCCAGACAATCCCATGTACCGCCATTGCACTAATGGCTACTGCCTCTACAGACGTCTTCATAATTCCGTCATTTATTGGTTCTGCATACCGTTAATTTCTTGGACCTGAATATTATTTGATTTTATGTATGAATGTCGTAACTTAATTTCCTTAGCTCATTAAGCGTTTCCCTACCTTTAGGAGTGAAATATGCCTAGCGATTTCTCCTTTGTACCACCTCCTGAGGCTCCTGTGTTTTATCCAACGCCTGAAGAATTTGAAGACCCACTTGGCTACTTGATGAAAATCCGACCAATATGTATAAAAACTGGGATATGCAAAATCGTCCCTCCCAAGGTAGGCTTGGATACTTTATGTGACATTTTGATCATATTTCGTGATCGTAATTATTTTGTTTGTAAGTTAGTTTTGACAAAACCTCGTGAATAAAAAATAGCATAGATTACACCACTATGTATATCGTACTAATTATATGTATTCTATTAATTCCCCAAGAAGTGTATATATTTTCTCCCCAACAATGTTACCATTTTATGGATTACTGTTAACTTTTATTTACAGTGTTGGAATCCTCCGTTCGCTGTCAATATGAAGGAGTTTTCATTCACACCACGCATCCAGCGGTTGTACGAGCTAGAAGTAACTTCCATTTCTTTTTACATCAAACTCCAGGCTCATTCTCGTATCAAGTTGAATTTTATCAGCCGTCTCTACAAGTTTGTCCAGCTACAGGTATTTCCATCTTGTAATTAATTTTACCCTACAGGGAGGCGACAAAATCCGAGTACCTAGTATTAGTGGACGCTACTTAGATCTATATGCTCTTCACAAACGTGTCGCAGAAGCTGGCGGATACCGTCAAGCCTGCGATAACCAATTATGGTCTGATATTGCTGAAAAGTTAGGTTATCAAAGCCGTCATGCACATACAATTAAAACCAACTATGAAAAACTGCTACTATCATTCGACCAAGTTATATCATATCCGTCTCGGCCCACCAAGGTAGTTCTGTGTTAATTTTTCTAACAATATTAGACCACTTATCACCCTAGAAGTCGTTGGAGTGGTTATAAACGTGGCAGAAAATCAATTGGGGTTAGTGTATTCTTAGAGACTAACTTATCAATTAATAGGAAGAGAAGATAGATTACTCGGCTAGTAACGAGTTAAAAAACCTGCAGTTTTTTGGTCCTGGACGAAAAGCTGTTGTTCCTGAAGATGGACGACCAAGCAGTAGGTTTTAAAAAATATTGGGTTTATCGCTTTTTATTCAATAGATTTCAAACCAGAAGTCAACGTAAGTTCCCGGAATTTTGTCCAGTTTCACTAATGTTTACAGATTGATGAATATAATTGTCGAGTTTGTGGTCATGGAGATGATGAAACCAATCTACTTGTCTGTGATACAGATAGCTGTCAAGCTTGCTATCACTTGTATTGTCTTGACCCACCTCTTCGTTCCATCCCAAAGTGCCAGTGGAAATGCCCTGAATGTGTCAGAGCTATCTGTTGTAATCCGATGGATGTATATGGATTCCCTCAATCGAGCAAGACTTATTCTCTTCAAGAGTTTGGTGTAATGGCAGATCAATTCAAATCTACTTATTTCAAACGTCCATGCACTGTAAGTATGATTTGCAGTAGTTGTTTGGCATTTTCCGCTTCATTTTCTGGCTTGTAATACAGTTTCATTTCCATCGCTTCCGATCATTCAATGGCTTTTGTTAAAGAGCTTAAAGTTTCACGTTTATCTTAGCATATAATGTATTTTCATTCTTTTACTAGTCATGCCAATTTCCTCTCCGGTGCTCGTGTTACTTTTATTCACTAAGTTCAGTCATAGTTTCTTAAATCCATATCAAGATAAGATTGTTTAATCATAATTTATGTTGAGCAATAGACCAGTGCTCATGCCTTTATAATGACATTCAGTTAGTCAGTCAGCTACAACGTAGGACCAGGCACATATGTGCATCCGTCCAAGTTGCCATACCTAATTAGCACCGGATTCATAGAAGTAGTTAATTCAGTGGTGGTAATATATTAAAGAAATATTCCATATGTGGACATAGTACAGGAAGAAGGAATTAACAATGACATTGGATTCATGTGACCGAAATCCTGGTGTAGTATATGAGTGTGTTCATAAATCTGCTCGATGTTCGTGGCTTTTAAGTAATGTTCATCTACGATTGGCCAAAACGGAATATATTGGTTCACTTTTTGTACTGGCTCCTTCATTCTTATATACTGACTAAAACCACCGTTCTAGAATTACTTCACAACTGGTGTAGTTCCTAGATCTTTAGTCGCCCGTAATCATTATTTTATACTTATGGATATTCGTTTTTACTTCTAGTAAATTAGTATGTCTAAAAGCCTTTTTCCAGAAAAAAGCATGTGGTCTGTTGGTATACAGTCAGTCAGTCAGTCAGCTACAACGTAGGACCAGGCACATATGTGCATCGGTCCAGGTTGCCATACCTCATTAGCACAGCAAGATGAACAGCGGATTCATAGGAGTGGTTAGGTCAAAGGTTGCAATAAGGATATAGTATAGGAAGAAAGAATTAGTTCGTAGACAGAAAGAATGAAGTTATTTTAGTCTCTTAGTTTAAGGGAAGACAGGGAGTGTATACACCGACGCCATTGTGATCGATTCTGAGCCATGTCACCAAGAGTCTCCAACCATTGGTTACGAAAGTCACGCGGACCCCAACCAAGTAGTCTGCATCTACCAACATGGCTCAGACTAGAAGTTAGTGACTTCAGGCACTGATGCCACGTTTTGGTTTGGCCGCCCCTAACTTTCTTCCAACCATCCCCTACCCCGGTTAGCATTGCACGTCGTGGTAATCGGTGTTCAGGCATACGTAATACGTGGCCCAACCATCTCAGTCGATGAAGATTCATAACCTCATCAACTGATTTACCATCATTCCCTAATACCCTGCGTCTAACCTCACTATTACTTACCCGGTGATCCCAGCAGATGCCAGCAATATTTCTAAGGCATCTGTGGTCAAATACTAGTAACTTACGGGTGTCTTCTACTCTTAAGGGCCATGTTTCGCTGCCGTAAAGTAAAACAGAACGAACTGCCGCGCAGTATACTCGTCCTTTTAATGATAGACGGATATCTCGCCTTCGCCAAAGGTGACGTAAGTTGGCAAAAGCCAAACGAGCTTTTCGAATCCGTGCTGAGATTTCGTCAGACACCAACCCATTAGGGCTGATCAGACTTCCAAGATAAGTGAAGTTGTCAACGCGTTCAACTACTTCACTCCCTATTCTTAGTTCAGGTGTTGACCCAGACCAGTCCTGAAGCAACAACTTGCATTTAGAGGGAGAGAAGCGCATCCCAAACATTCTGGCATTGTTGCTTAGTGCTGCCAGAAGACTCTGCATTTTGTCAGCGTCTTCACCAAACAGGACTATGTCATCTGCGTATTCTAAGTCGATAAGTGGACCTCCTGGAAGGAGATCAATACCCGAGAATTCAATCGACGAGAGTGTTATTTCCATCAATAGGTCTATGATGAAGTTAAACAGAAATGGAGAAAGTGGACAGCCTTGACGGACACCACTTGAGGTTGCAAAAGTAGATGACAGTTCGCCATAAGCCCTGACTCGACTAGTAGTGTTCGAGTAAAGAGCCTTCACAAGGTTTATGTACTTCTGAGGTACGCCTTTCAATGACAGACACTGCCACAGAGTCTCGCGGTCTACCGAGTCAAATGCTGCTTTTAAGTCGAGAAATACCACCATCGTCGGACGCCGATAGTTATGCCTGTGTTCTAGAACCTGACGAATGGTGAATATGTGGTCGATGCAGCCACGACCAGGTCTAAAGCCAGCTTGGTTCTCTCGAGTTTGTAGTTCACGAGTCTTAGTTAGGCGTTTGATAATTATCGAGGCCAGTATTTTAGATACTATGTTTGTTAAACTAATCCCTCTGTGGTTGTCCTGTTGGTATACTTCATATTGTTATTGTGCTTTGGAACATCAAAGGACGAATAAATATCAGATACCAAAGCATTTCGGTAACTAGACGAAACAGATACTAACCGAGAAGATTCGAAGTAAAATATTGATCGCTTAAAGTATTCTGAAAGTAGACGCATTTATTCCCAATTTACTTGTTCCTTTTCCACCTACGCCCCACCGGAAAGCATAAACGAACTTTTTTTCCTGGAAAAACTACCTTCCAAATCAAAGAAACTGGTCAATATATTAAATTTATCACTGCTCGTAATATTGAACTACCTACTTTTAATCACACCACCTCTAGATTCTGCTACTGACACCTTTTATGTTGTCACCTACTGAACCGACCGGTATCAAATATCGGTAACCTAATTATTGGTCGACAAAATGTATTCTCCCCTCATATTTTCAGTAGCACAAGAATCACCGCTTTTATGTAAATCTCTTCCTCTTACTTTTTCTAACTTGTCAGCTGAAGTTTAGGAAATAGTCAACGAACCTTTCAAAACATTGCAAACTATACTTTGTGTATCTCATTGTATGATCGTGTTAGGTGTATATCGTTTCCTAGATATACATTCTGCTTTTGTTTGTTCAGTTACTGATAAGTAGCGGAGGACTTTGCAGGAATCTACATCTGTCATAATTGTTTAACTTCATATTCTCACAGAAAAGGATTAACAAGATGTAAAACTGAAGGAGCGAAAACGCTAATGAAAATGGTAAGCGATGAATACGAACTATTGTTCGTAGGGAACAGATAAAATCAAGGTGTTAACACTACCAAGTTAAGCTCAAAGCTGAAAAGTGAAGAATACATCTACTCAAACTGTTTTCTGATCATTTCACTTGAGGTGTGTAGTCATAGATACTGATAAAAAAGGATTGGAAGGTTGAAGGTAGTCATTCATGGGTTTTAGTGTGCCTTTGATTGCACGTCAAGTTCTAGGTTTTATTATAATTATGGACTAAACCATAACTAGTGTACTCAGTCATTCTGTTAACCTTATTTATCTGGGAAAGCACCAGTTGGTTGGATGAAGTCCCTTACTTGTTAGAGGGAAATGGTAGATAACCGTGAAGGGAACGTTTCGAAATCCGCTGCAAACGCTAGTAAATCCACCTTGCCTTTTTCATCCTCATAGAAATCTCATGATATCATGCCTTTTTTCCGAGGCTACCCATGTTCTTTCTAATAACAATTTTGGGATTATTCTTCTTGCTCTTCAACAAACAAGTTTGTTTAGTCTGATTCGTTATAGTATTCCATATTGTTTTGTATGTATGTTTTCTCCCTTCAGTGGATATTTGACAAAATCAAACAGCACAATAATGTTATATATCGTTTTGAAGAGACTTGATTTTGCAATCGCATCAGGTCTGCGTTGGCTATGAGCTGGTAAGCTTACTCGGTAAAATGTTAGGCCGTGTTCTCAAATAGCCCTGTTAAAGAAATTGAGTAAATATACCTATGCCATTGGCAAAGATATCATGTCTGTTTATCTCTATTCATCTTTCCATTTGTAAAACAGTTCAGAAAACAAATCAAATATCATATTACAATGTCAACATGATTAAAAAAAGTTACTGTTAAATAGTAGTCCTAGTCATAATGTTATAGGCGATGAAGATTTAATCAGTAGTGTTATTATTTGAATCACATCGCTTTGGCCCATTTTTAGTATCATAAATAGGACATAATTTGTTTTATGGAGAAATGAAGTTTGTTGTTCTTCCGTTTAGTATTTCGCTCCTGAATGCTATTCAAGTTTTAGGATTCCCCTAAATAGTTTTAGATTCGTTTCTATTTTGCTTACAGAAAAGAATTTCTGCTGTAGTTTGAACGTAGGTAGTCTATGTTCATTACTAGTATTGTAGAACTGTCAATTTCTGACTAAGCATGAGAAATATCTTTAATATAATTATTTAATCACCGTTTTATGACTCTCTGGATCTTATAACTTTTCACAATTAGCCATTAGACAGTGATCGCTGAGAATTCGTTTCCATTTTCTACCTAGTTTAGGGAAATGGTATAAAATTAGTTACGTGCTAAAATTGTGCCATGGTCTCATCGAAAAAGTGTTCATCCAATCTGCTACTCACTGTTTTGTCCCATCTTACTATCCGATTTAAGACCAGTTTATAAGCTATTGCTAAAACGTTTATTAAATATTTGATCTTACGTATACCTTCATTAAGTGCAAATGAGAATATTGCCTGTACATATTTTTTGAGAGTTAAGTATTATATGCCATAAGTAGTAGTCTTAATATAAACGGATACGTAACATGTCTTTTTTATGAACAGGATGTGCCATGCGGTGAAGTAGAACGTGAATTCTGGCGTATCTTACAGGAGTATAATGATGATGTCGTTGTTGAATACGGCGCTGATATTCACTCAAGTTCTCAGGGGTCGGGGTTTCCAACAAAATCAATGCTAAAGAACTTAGTGGGCACTGCTTCCCAACTAGCAGAAGCAAAGAAGTACGCTGATAGCCCTTGGAACTTAAATATATTACCGTTGTTAGATCGGTAAGTTGAATAACGTTGATTGTTTACTTCCTAAAAATGTTAGTGTGATTTAACGTAGTTTGTTTTAGAAATATGAATTGCAACGCGGATGTAATTACAGCTATTTCAGTTCTATAATAAGATGACCTTATGATTTAGCCGCTTAACTTTATTTATTATGCATCAGATTCCAAACTAATTTTGCATACTACTGTTTAATCAATCAAATATTATTTTTTTGTTCCTGCCCAATGGGTACCATTAATTTCAACTGAAATTTTGTGGTTTAATATATTGATTTTCTATTCATACTCGATACTTAGACAGTAGCTTTGTAGGTAACAAACTGAAACAGATAATTGTGCACAACATAACCCCTAACCATAGTACATCATTATCTCAATGAATAATTCAAAACTCTTCTATGTGTATATCACGCCAAATTGTAACCCATTTCTACTTTTCAGATTTTTCTATTTCTTTTCACTTGGAAGTTTGTTATTTGATATCCATCTGGTTCTTCAGTTTATCTGCTCTAAAGAATACCTACTCTTGGTTTTATGAACCATCTAGAAATATAAAATCATCTTCCTAAATTCTTATATAAGTTTATACATTGACCATATTATGGGGCCTTGGATGTTAGGCAAAAGAAAACTAACAAAATGGACACATTTAAAACTGTTAAAACGTACTCGTAATTTAATGAATATTAATTGCTTCCACAGTATGTTATCAATTTCATCATTAGTCAAGAAATTTATTAAGCGTCTAAGGAGACTCACTCCGAGATTAACATTATCTATGAAAGGTTGGTGGTTGTATGAAATATGATATTTTTTAACTCGTTTATCATATGCACATATTATTTAATAAATGTTAAATAAATGATTAATACTGTCCTTATAATTTTTTGATGACTAACAGATCAGTCTTGAGGTTCATTAAAGGAAACATAGATGGTATGAAAATCCCTTGGTGCTATGTTGGTATGGTTTTTTCTAGCTTTTGTTGGCATATTGAAGATCATTGGAGCTACTCCATCAATTTTAATCATTGGTTAGTTGGAAATTGGCTTTTAATAATTGATGTTAATTTGACTTTTAAAACTCTGGCCGCTTGTGAATTCCAGTTTATCTCCCATGTCACTAACTAGATTCACAGGTCTGGTTTTAACTTGTGAACACTGAAACTTCCTATTTTATTCTCATAATTTTGTATATAAATGTCAATACGTATTAGCAACCTCTGTACTATTCTGCATCTATCATTTAGATTTTCAGTGATCTCTTTATGATCTTGTACCGTGTGTTTGAGCATTTTGGAAACCACTATACAGTTCCTAATGTAGTTCTAAAGCACTATCTTTCAACTAATTTAGTGGATAAACTACTGCCAGACTGCACACCAAACTAGTTATGTCCACTAGAAGAGGCAGTAAAACTCATTTTAAAGTATACTTGTTGTTAAGCCATGTAACGAACTGTCAAACTAGTAATAATAAGATCCGTATGAAGCGATTATTCACTAAATTTGCTAAACTAGAAATATTTATATATTTTTATGAATTTTCTTACCACTCAATGCTCATAAACTCAGTTTCCATTTCCAGTTACAGTTAGTCATACATGCTTCTTGTATTCTTTAACAGCCAGGCACTAATTCATTTTACTGCTATCTGTCTGTTTTTGTTCATTGTTGAAAAGTTATTTTTGGTTGGGGTATCTAGCAATTTTATTAACACTATCCACTGTGATCATCTTTTAAATTGAAATGTTTTTCGTGGACTGTAAAATAGGGGTGAGCCGAAAACTTGGTATGGTGTATCCCGTTTGCACGCAGATGATTTTGAACGCGCTATGAAAAAACACGCTACAGAACTTTTCGATCAAGCCCCAGATTTACTGCATCACATTACAACTAATGTAAATCCGAATATTTTACAAGCAGAAGGTGTACCAATATATCGGACTGATCAACACTGTGGAGAGTTTGTCGTGACATTTCCGCGCGCTTATCATGCTGGATTCAATCAAGGCTTCAATTTTGCTGAGGCTGTTAATATATGTCTACCTGATTGGGTAAGCTCATTTTTTAACATCCGTTTGAGCTTTTAAGTCACATTCGAAAAAAATTATTTGTTGAATTACTAAAAAATTCAGTTTAAAAAATTCCTCTAGTTTCTTTTGCAATTATGTCAAAATACCAGCGTGTAACAATGAAATTATATAAAACAACTGTCAGTTTGCAGCATAATGCCCACTACAGTATCTAATACAAACGCATTCACACTATTAAAGTTGGTTTTGAACTGTACAACCTCAAGTTACTAACCACTAGTTTTGTTAGTTATTTGAACTTCGTTTAGATTATGTTTTACCGTTCTGTCCAAACCAATATCCTAACTCCTGGTGGATTGTTATTGTTTAGCTTCATGGAGACGATATTCTAATTTTAAGAGGTTGGGCGTAACATAAACTTCACTAAGTGTCTTTGGTTTACTCTTGTCGTATCTATTTTCTAAAATCGGAAAATGCTGAGCTGCTCCCTGAGTTTGATCACTGTTCCCTTTGTACAATGTCATCTTGAAATGGGAGACACTTGTTATAGTTTGTGTGTGTTTTATTATGTGCTATTTTACACTGCTCTGGTATCAATAGATCGAATCAATGACTGATATCAGTTATTATTTTTGTGTTTTTATCATTGATAATATCAATTTCGTTTTGGGGCAGGGGCTTCATACGTGAACAACTTTCTGTTACTATTAATATATTTTAATTGATAATTCTTCAATCGTATGTTTTAAAATGTTGCATTCCTAAGCTTCCTATTGGCCGTGCTTGTATTGAACATTATGCTGAAATTAAAAGACATTGTGTGTTTTCAAACGATGAACTATTATGTACATTGGCTGAAGTAGCTGTGGGCAATGTTCTTCCAGAAGAAATACTCACTTTAACAAATCCTGTTACTAGCTGTACTTCAAATGGTGAATGCTCAGACAATCCTGAACCTCATATCAGTGAAAAACTACCTCCTGGTTGTTCAACTTCAGGTCTCGACATAGGTGCTGTAGCTATTGTGCATCAAGAGTTTACTTGTGTGCTCAAAGAAGAACGACGGTTACGAGAATTAATCATCCAAAATGGTGTGTCTAACTCGAGAAAAGTTAGATTCGACGAAATGTCAGATGATGCACGTGTCTGTGATTTCTGTTTGACTACTCTTTTTTTATCTGGAGTTAGTTGTTCATGTATTTATGAATCGAACACCAGTATTCAAAGATTAGAGAACCCAACTGATCGTTCTTTGGATGACCTTAGTACAACTGCACGAAAACACAAGATGTCGGATGAACCATGCGGCATTATAGATGAATCTAATGAAGGTGTGTGTTTTTTTCGTTTTGACTTCCTAATTCGTCATCTTATTTGTTTCAAATTATTTTTTAAGCATTTTTGTTGATAATCAGTAGTTTTAGCTGTTATTACTAAAAAGTTAATACCATCCTACTACTTTTAAGTAGTGTGGTTAGTTTTATGAATTTTCGTCTTGTCCTAAAGTTAAATCAGATAACTTTTGAAAAACAAGAAACTTTTTGCCTACCTTTAAGCTTCCATAATGCAACCTGCTAAGTTAGTCAGTCAGTACTTAAAAAAATCAGCTTCAGTTACCATTCCACATCGCAACGAGATGAAATTTACAATACGAATGGCATAAGAATTGAAATTATAGTAGTTTCACTAGTAATGAGAAATATGGTTCGAAAAGAGTGATGAATTTTAGTGGTAATACTGAAGCTCGAAACTTAGGGTAAGATGTATTGTGATTCCATCCACACCAACTGTTATAACTGTACTGCAGATTAGAGCTCAGCGTATTATCGATCGGACCAAAGACGCGTAAACACGTAAGAACGGCCTAGAGTTCTGATTGGTCTCGCTTCCCTGTCTAGCCCAGCCAGTTGAGTCCAGAACGCAAGTCTCAGCCTCTGAGATATGAGTCGTTATATTTCAAGAATACTGAGTTTATATACCAAACAAACCGACCACAACGTACCAATAAAATATGAAACAACATTTGTACAAGAATTAGCCAGATGTGGCTGTGAATGTGGGAGGTAGCGATTAACAGACAGGTAATAATTGATGAATGATAAATCGTATAATAATAGTTCATAGATCAAAATCAAGCTCATAATAAGAGGGACGTGAATATGAACAGTTTAGTTACATAAAAATTATACGATAAAAATATACTCATAATATTGGTCCATAAATGGATCCCGAAAATTGCCATTCATTATTCTTATCGGGATACAACACCAACATAGTATCTTCGACGCCTTATCTGTTGTTACCACTATTTCATCTCATTGTACTAATGAGGTACGGAAACTTGAACCTATTTACACATGCACCATGTTCTACGTTGCATTTGACTGAATGACGCCACAGTAACCGATCTTGAGCCATATCACTCAGTCTCTCTCACTGATGATCTTATAGACCTCAATCAAGTAGGGTAGATCTACCAACACGTTTCAGTTCAACAGTCAGTAACTTCATTGACTGATACTCGATCTTGGTTTGGCCTCCATCAGTCTTCATTTAAACAATCCCTAATTCAGTCAATATATTGGGTGTCGAGGTAGTCAACGTTTGGCCATGGGTTTGGTTATTACATACCTCAGCTACCTCATTAAATGAAGGCTCAGTTTCACCAATCAATTCGTCTCTTAAGTGTTGAAGTGTATAGGTTTTCTAGGAGTTTTAAGCCGTTGAAAACCCTATCTATCGCTTCATAATTTACCATGGTTCTTTAACTGTTCAGATCGTAATACAACATACATTCAGTGTTTGTCATTAACTTCTTGAATTAAACAATCGTTTTACAACTTATGTCCCACAATTTTATTTTTATCGAGTCATACTATCTAAGCCTGACCTTACTAATCACTAGTAGTACCTGTATTACGCCGGTATTCATCTTGGTAATTTCTTTCTTTTGTACTGATAAGATGTGGCAACCTGTGGGCAATGCACGTTTTGTGTCAGGTTCATGAATTCCTTATGGCAGACTGACTTCAATCCTAGTATATCTTTGTGATACCATGTTCTTTTAAATTAAGAAACAAAATAACCGTTCATTTCATTGAAATTCCTGTTACCTTCGTTTGTTTCCCAAACATCTCAAACGTAACCAGTCAGTCTGCAGTGGTGCATCATTTCAGGATGTTTTTCACATAGCTACTAACTAATACATAAATTCCAAACCCCCTAATTTTCATCCACTTCATAGTTTTTCATTACATTTTATACTCAAAAATCTAGCTAGTAAACAGTTTATTTGTAAAAGCAATCAGCTATTCAGAATATTTCACTATTTTTCATTTGTGAATTATTGGTGATATGGTGTCGTTCATGAAAATTAGTTGTAATATTATCGCTTATCTAATTTCCAAATGTAGTTTTACTAAAAAATTAATATTCATCCGAAAGTTTGGCTATTGAATGAGCAGATGACAATCAGATATGATGTAAATCAGGTTAAATTATATTTCTAATGAAAATTTGAATGGGATTTTTCGAATGCTTCCAGCGAATAATTTAGTGCAGTGTTCAGAAAAGTTTTTCTTTTTTACCCCTTACAGAGGAAAAGCGACCTCCTAGCCATATGGTTTGTCTAAAACATGTGTCCGAATTGTGCAAGAAATGTCCACCCTCAGTTTTTGTACTCAACTATCATTACTCAATAGAGGAACTATGCAGTTTAGAACAATGTTTGGCTGATCGCCTAGCCCATTTTTATGCATGGAGAAATCAGTTATCTGTTATAATTAAACCGAGTGATTCAAACACTTTCTCAAGTAATCACTTCATGAAACAAGAAGCTAATGATAATCATGTTGTTGTATCTAACAACTCAACTTCAGGTACTATGACACTTGAGGAATTGGAGGTAATTAATAATGTTATAAGACTTGTCTTTTGTTCTTATGTTTTTTGTACGAAATTTATACAGATAATCTGGAATATAACATAGTAAAATGATTAGCCCAACTTTATTTGTGACAAAAGTTTCAATTTCTATTTGTGCTTCATATGTGGGAACTTCGTGTTAGTAGTTCAGACATTGATACAATGAATTATAAATTGTAAATTTTTGTACATACTTTATTTTGTGGATTCGTTTTCATAGGGTAAATGTAGCTCCTAGCACATTACGTAAGCGTGTCAGTGTTTATTAACTTGCATTTAATTGCGATTAGAATGTCCATTTTGCACCAACTTCACTTATGCTACTGAAAACCATTGAAATGCTCACCTGAGTTTATACAGCGGCTTAAATTTAAAATAGATAACCGAACATTACTGTTTACTTTATCTGGTAGAGTCTTCCATTTGTCGATGAAATTTTCTACCTATTGTCGTCAGACTAGACAGCAAAGACAAGAGTTTAAAGAAATATTTCATTGAACTCAACTGCATATTTAGATGGAAGCATTCATATTCTTGTAATCATTGTTTTCATAAATAGAGCTACACAAGGAGCCGTCAAAAAGTGAATTAAATATTAGCGATTATTCACAGGCCTATGTTCAATTTTTTTAAACCATGCCAATTATGTGTAAACGTATAATACTATATAGGCACCAGATTTTTGACGACTAGGTTTCTACTTTAATGCATTTAATGAGAAATAGAGCCCTTTATATTGAATTCATTTGACCACTAGTTATGGCTCTCAGGGATAAAGTATAAACTATATTCTCATAGTTTTCTGAAAATATGACGTAAATAGTCATACTGTAAAGCGACGCATTCACTTTTTCCAAATAATTGATTGTTTCGCAATGTCGTTGCATGAGATATTGTTTTGTAGAAAAACGTAGCATGTACCTAATCAGTTTATGAATATCATTATTTTTATATTTTTATTGGTGAGTCATTGACGGTGTACACTGCTACCACCTCTACATTCATCAAAGTGGTTTCTATTCTTGCGTGTCAGTACCTCTAAAACCGTTCTTCATTTTTAGTATTCTACGAACTAAAGTACCTTTAAACAAATGGGAATGTTCAATGAATTCCCATAAATGTTGACCGTTGGCGTGATTATATATCGGGGTGAGGCACCAGTCGTTAAGCCAGCAAATCACTGGTTCAAACCCCACTCCATTTTGGGTTCAAGCAACAGGGTAGTATCACTAACCTTCACATTTCAAGTGAGGCTACAAGTTCAGTACACGGATCTGTGCCCAATAGTTGGGTTGAAGTATATGAGGTTTACTCTATCATTTGAGTTGTCAAATGAATGTTATCCGTAGATAAGTAATTTGCCATGTTAGAACTAGTAGGTGAAGTGATTTTAATGTACGAATATTTTTACAAGTTTACCTTGTCTACTATTCTAATCACCCTGAAATCTATTCGTACTTTGAATCATTTGATTACAAGCTAAGTATTCTTCGACTTTAATCCAATTATTCGAAGAATTCTTACAAAATTATCGTCGCACATTTTCTTCATAACAGCTTTTTTTAACAAGATTGTTATACTTAATGCCCTAAAAATATAGATTTACATTATTCTTGATATCAGATAAAATTGGCCGAAGGCAAGGCTGCTGGCTATCATACTGATGACATCTACAACGATGCTAAAGCTATGTTAGATCGTGGTAAACATCTTCAACAAATATGCGTCAAATTAAAACCCTCCATTATTGGTTCCGGGAACGCTGATAAGTTCAAAAGCTCATTAACAAGCATATCATCGACCGTCAACCCTGTAAAATTTCAAACCCGACGTCCTGCTACTTTTACCGTGGCGACTTCTTCGACTAACGGTTGTGCGACACCACATAAAATTATCAAATTGCCTTCGAATAATGGATATGTAGTTCTCAACCATGAACTTGACGTCAACAAGTAAGTGTAGATTTCTTCGAAACATCTCATTTTAATGTACAATATTCAAATATTCGTGTTTCACGTGAAAGAAATTATTTTTTGTTAACTTATCTTAATTGAAACCAAACGTTTAATTAGCTTAAAATAACACTCATCTTCATGAGTACATAATAGGTTAAAGTGAAATCAGTTTAGTTCCTATCTCAGTTTGAAAATCTGAGAGCAGAAATGCCTGACTTTAATTTACCAGAGTCCATTTCACATAATAACTCCATTCCAGACAACATGGAAACTAATGACATTTTGAATAGATTCACGTGTAATATGAGTGATGAATTTATTGCATGTTGTGATTACTGGTACTGAAAGTTCCTTATAGTCAGTCATCAAATAGATAATAAATTACACATCGATTATTACGTAATGTAGTAATAGATTTCACTCCTTTTATGCTTCTTCCATTAATCGAATGGCTGAATACGTCTTGATGAAGGTAAAATCTCGACAACCCCAAAATGAAAAAAACCATGTGCTCACTAGTGACTAGCTTTAAGAAGAAATTCTCGGAGTTCTAGTGAGAAACCGTGACCAGCCGAGTCTAACCGTATAGGGTGAGGCGGTTACTCACTGAAGATGGTTGCACAATATCGTGCACTGGTTGAAGTTAGACATTAACACCGTTGGATGTCGACACAGGTTTAAAGGTTGGGCGTCCGCACGCGTGACCGAAGGTCATTGGTTCGTGTCCTGTGTACTGGATTGTGGATACGAACTGCTGAGGAGTCCCATACTAGGACGAGACAGCCGTCCAATGCTTTCAGGTTTCAATAGTGATCTAAAATTGATGGGTTCATGGTTTCAATCAAATCCACACAACCCCAAACTGGAAGTTAAAATATTTGCTTAGCAATCAAACTCACACTTTCCAAACCTCGACCTTCAGGTCCGAATACTGCTATACTTTGTTTTTGTCAATCGAATAATCTCGGTAGTCTTTACATCAAAATAATTGATCCATATGCTTGTACATGGATATTCTTGGCTGTTGGATCGAATCAAATTAAATTACCTTTTCTCACTCAAGTTACGCCGTGAATACATAACTCTTGAAGAACGTATAGTTGTTTATGCAAAGGCGGAAAATTTAATACAGTTGCACTGGCAGATTTTTTACATATCAGTGCTATCGGCACTAGATATTTATTTGTTGATTTGGTGTCATGTTAACTGGTTGTTTCCTATCTTAAAGGCATATCATGCAAAAATTAAAAACTGGGACTGAAATTAAAACGTTTTTTTTACTTCAATGAAACATTTTGAGCGTTTAACTATCAGCCGATCTTATCATTGTTAAAATTATTAATATTATTGGACGAGAGGTTTGAGGAGTTGAAAGAGGGAAAATGATGAACGAAAGGGGTTGGTTTATAATTATGAACCAAATTCGTTTTAATGTTATACACATGGATTCACGAAATTTATTGTTAAACTCCATAGTAATTAAAGTCATTAAGTCTGATTGTGATCTTATATAAAATAACGTTGTTCTCCTCAATGTGTTGTTCTATTTTTGACAATGGGAATCTTTACTATTCTGCTAGTCTTTGTTTTTTTTTCTCTGAATTCCTAGTCCCCGGGAATACGATCTTTTACGACTGATGGAATCTTGTGAACAACAGCATCCTCTCAATCTTTTTGAGGATCCATCAGTACAATTAGTCAAACGACTGTTAAGTCAGTTAACAACGTGGCACCAATCAGCCCGTGGTATTATTAACCTACTATGCAATTTAATCCTAACAAATGCCACTCGAAGTATTTCTACCAGTTTTTCCATATCAGATAGTTTGTCCAATATTGGTGTTAGTGCGGATTGTCTCCCTAATGATTTCTACGCTTTCTCAACAGATGATCAAGCCTTAATAATCCTTGACCATTTTTTGGAGAAATTACGAAATGAATTCCCATCGTATGTGTATCGTATATCGGAATGGAATTCTCTTAATCTCGTGAGTTCTGGCATGAGTAGTTGAGTGTTGTGTATGGTAAATTAGTAATACTAGTGTACCATTTTTTTTCAACATGTACTTCATATGTCAATCAGTAGACTTTATGTTTCATTAGTAAGTTCTAGTATTTAGATAATGCGATTACCACATGGCTTCTAAAAGATTATCTTCTATACTAATAATAGGAAACCTTTGTGTTGTTTTGATTCATAGTCATCAACAGTTGTCCAGTAGTATTATTTAGTAGATGACATGTATTTTGTGAGACAATCACAATTCTCAGCACTTCATCGAATAATCAACTAAAGTTGTTATTTATTGCCACTTTCTTTGTCCTGCCCCTTCTTAATCTAGGTTAGTATTTGAAATACTTTTCTAAACATACCTTGTTAATTGCCATATCTAAATGTGAACTTAAAACAAATGCGTCGTAAGCCTCAAGAACTACAATGTATGGTCTGTTTTCAGTTTGAAGTAATTCTGGATACTATTCAAAATGAACATCCAACTTAAACAGTAATCCTGAGAATATCTATCAGTTTCCCTCTCAAGTCGTTCGATCTTTAATTTGTTTACTTTCTAAGAATTTGTAGCACTAAATTTTATTGACATCAAAACACCTTCACCGAACTTTATTGCTTGCTACATTATTGTTGTCACACTTTTGTCTATTGAGTTTTTATCTGACTTTACATTTTTCACCATTTATCTTCTTTGATTTTAGCTACGTCATGCATTGAGATGGCTCTGTATTTATGGTCGACATGATAACAATAAAAGTACGTGTTGGTCATTGCCTCATCTTCGAAAGTATTTGGTTTTTGGTGAGGAAATTATTTCACAACTGACAGCAATTACCTCGAGTCAAAAATCTCACTCAAAAATAGTTCATTCATCTTCATCATCTGTTTCATTATCTATCCGAAACAACCAGACAGTTTCTCAGTCTTCAGGATCTTCGTTTAATGTTAGCAATATGGACACTGCTTTAACTCAGATCATGAGGTTTGTACTAGCTCGAATGCATACGTCTTTAGGAAATCTGACCCAGTTGGGTGTACAAGTTGAAACTCTAGTTGGTGTTTTAACTGAGATTCTCAGCAGTTCAAGGTGAATTACGTATAATAATAATATATAATTCATTTTTGTACCAATAAGATCACACTTCATTAATTGTTTGCTCTATGAACCACCAAATATTTTGTGAATTGGTGATTTGTTAACACAGTGAGAAGCCGAAGGTTATCAGGGTTACGTTATACATTTCGAACAATCTGATCACATATATACTAGTTAAGACATTTTATTGAAGCGTTGGATATACTGAAACTAAAACCCTTTTTATATGTTCAAAAAAATTAGTCCTTACCCTTAACCTACCCAGGTAATACTAATTTATTATCCAGAGCGGTTTTCACATCGCTTTTGTGTACTTTCTTATTCATTTTGTCTTCGTTTACCTTTTAATTTGTCTAGTTGACCTTTTATTTTTCATATAAAACGTCTTAATAAATATATATGTGATCAGATTGTTCGAAATATTTTACGCAAATATGTCACATAATCCTGATAACGTTCGTCTTCTCAATGCATTATCGAAATTTATCCGAGGGACTTATTGTCTTAGATTTTCTAACATGTTTTGCACTAGGTATTATATATATCCACAATGATATATTGACAACTTAAACTTTATCATTGGTCTCATGAACAGATTCAGTGAAATATCAATAGAATCGATCTATATTATTCAAACTAGTACTGTTAATATCATGTATTTATTTTGAATCGAAGAATGTTACCTACTTACTTACTTACACCTGGTTAAAAACGCTAACCAGAATGTTACTAATTTTTTGTATGTGGTTTACAGGAGACAGGTGACCTGGATATCCTATACTGGGTCTTGGAATTCTTAACATTTTTATTTGTTTTTTGTGTGTTTACACTAAAACAGGTCATCAATCTATCAAGAAATTGAGGATGCATTGTACCGAATAAAGAGTCTGGGAATTGATCACGTTACGGCTGTTAATGGACAAATACCACTAACAGATGAACCTCAACTTAATGCAGCATTAGATGAACGCCATTTCAATAGCATTGTAGATACTCAGTCAGTTACTACACCTGAAGATATCGCTCAATTAAAAGCACTTTTAAAACAGCATGTTGATGACATGATAAATTTGTGTTCCCGGGATGAATATAGTTCAAAAACTAAACCTTATTTAAATAAAGTAAGTTCATTAGCTTTTATTTTGCGTAATAAATCTCCTTATGTTTCATTTTGCTAACCTACTAATTTTATTAAGCGTACACAATAAACACTAGATTTTGTCATAATGGCTAGCTAAAAAATTGGATGAAGCTTAGTAAGAAATAAAGTAATTAAGATTTTACTGTCGCTGTTAATTTTTATTTCATTTTATCCAGGGATTGATCAAGTGACGCCGAACTGTTAATTATATAAATAAATAAGGTTTCAATCGACCTTAACAGATTTTCGTTATATTCATCACTCTGATTCAGTTTGACCTCTTTATTTGACTACTTAGCGATCAATATTATTGCTTTTCTAAGCGTAACGTTACCCATACCTAATTCATTTGTCACTTGTCTTTACTTTCTGAAACATACTTAGTTGTACATTTGTATTTACAGTGGGTTTTATGTGTTTGTAGAAAAAGGGAGAGATTATATCATATAGTCATTTGAGATTCCAATCGTCCGAAGGAAGGTTCCTTAATTATCTTTATGTTAGAAAAGAATAGGAGTATGAAAGTAACTTACGGGTCAGAAATATAAGGGATAATTGTTCACTTAACTGATAATTGGAAAGGAGAAGACATAAAGGTCATAATAACAATTGAATAATAATGATGAAAGATTGTTAGAGGGTAACAATAACTGACTAAGTGGACGATTATCTCTTCCCTGGCCTCTAGATCACTTCACAGACTTAGTTGTACTTACTTTAGCCATCACTACACAATGATTCAGCCTCGATAGTGTTTAATGTCCATTAATTTATTGAACTGTAGCTTTTCCGTTTGATTTATTTATTTATTTATTTCAATGCAAACATTGATACAAAGAGGTATAAAAATATGTATGCCCCATACAGAGTAGCTATCACTCAATTTGTGTTTGGGATGAGATACTGTCCGGGTGCCAAAAGCGAGACAGGTAGTTTTCTTAGGTGGCCACTCTCCGAACCTTTGGTCCAGAAGTCTAATCCACAAGACAGTGGAACAACGTTAGTAGATGCAGTCTCATGATAGCCGGTGACAAACAAGTTCATACGCCATTTTCCCCCTCACGATCCTGAAGCTCATGTGTTCCATGGGTTTGGAATAATGGTTTTCAAACCCCCTCCCCCTAGGTAGGTCCTTCGTACCCACTAACCCGCTTGGAGAGTCGAACATTCACTTCTCGTCCTCGCGACTTCGTAGACAATACCCCTGCCGCGAGAAGACAGTGAGTAGGACTTCCCTGACAATGGCTGTATATGCGTGGGTATATGGGCGTATTTTGAGAGGGAGAGCGAACGCTTCTCATTTTCGGTCGTACCACAGTTAAAGTAATATGAGATTGGCTAACAAACGAAGATAAACACATTCAGCTTTAGTGAATATACAAGACTATTATACTGTAGATTTTATTAACCGTTGATTTCTACTCGGACTTTGCAGTGTTAACGGCTTTTAATTCGTGGCAACAAACTGTTGTTCCACCTCATATTCGTTAGTCGAATTTCGAGTACCTGAGCCCATGTGATCTATTACTAACTAGTGGTCAAGTCCGTTGGGTTCTGTACGTCATACTATTTTGAATTTAATATCCATTGTCCCAGCAGTAGGATCGTCTGTGCAAAAACAAAATATAACTTCCCCAGTTATTATCAGAAGAATAATTACCACAAATATTTTTTAAATCAACTTATCTTATATTTCATGCTTGTTATTTCACAGTTGCAATTGTTAACTGATTTCTTTTTTATTATAGGCAGAAATCTTGTGTGAACTCGGTCATTTATTCTCACCAACTTCGGATTCAGATCGTTTATTAAGTTTCGTTACAACTAATCATAAAATTATTGTTATATCGGACAAATTAGATCGCCAGTTGAAAAAATTAAATGATCATGTTAACAACACCAAACGTGCTATATCGGATCTGTATAACAAATTCCTTCCTCATCATGGTTTGCCTGGATATAATATACAGACAGATTCATTATTAGAGGTGTGTTATGTGTGATTTTAAATATTCCTTTAAACGCAGTTTAACTTGTCACTTTTTAATAACATGGATTCAAAGGTTCTGAAACACAAAACTTAGTCATTATTACGGTTTTCACGTTGGCCTAATATGTTTCATCATCGTATAATTCATCACAACATGTATCATCTGACGCTGATTATTCTCAGTAGATTTATACACTTGTGAAAATATCGATTGTAAACCAATAGTATTGTAAAAGATCGTGTTTTAGCTTACCTTTGGATCGGTCAGGAAACTTGATTTCTTTAAAGAAGATTTCTTGTATATTCAAATAATTATTCTCAACAATTCAAAGAACAAAAATAAAAAAGTAAATCTACTTTTATTGTATAAGAACTGGCATTTTCAGGCATGGAAATTTCATTTCACTTCATACCTGTCAAGTCGATCGTTCATATTGTAGTAAGGAGTTATGCTGCTTCTAATTATAATAAATCCAGTCTTTGTTCATCACCTGGTCATCTAGGTATGATATTTTTTATCCTGCCAAATCCCTATTTTTAAACGTTTGTCTATCATAAAGAAGATATCATTTAATTTAAGATAGTTAAACGCCAATTCTCCTCTAAACTAAATTTCATACTTCCTCTTCACTGATACGCTAAGATTAGTTTGAAGCAATATAAATTATGACCGGTTTCGCATTTAAATTGAGTTTAATCTATAACAGGTAATATACATGTAAAAATGGTCCATCCAGTAAATATCTGGACTGTATCATTAAGCTTTGCAACAAAATTTGGGTACATTCTATAGAAAATTGATGTAAAGTCGTTAAGTGGATCGAGCGTTTTAGTTCAAGCCCGTAAAGAACAGCTGACATCAAAAGGACGATATTTTTTTCTTCACGTATAATTATAAATTGTGAGTGTATGAACATAAATATACAAAAAAGTCATTCCTTTAAATGTTATTGAAATATGTACCAATATGTTCAAATGCACATTTTCACTTAAAGATGCATGACTCTGGAAAACAAATTATTTCTGGCGGTGATCACATTCCAATCTGAATATAAACTACTGTTAGCCTGATTTTTAGATTTTATGGCCGCTAATAAGGTGATGACTACAAATTATTAACATTATTGTAAGGCGGATTTGAGAAGTTAAAAGAGGGAAGAAGTAAAATTCTATTTATTAATTCGTGGACCGTTATGAATTATAAATCTAAATCATATTTATTTTAAGGTTATTCGTAAAGAACACAAAGTTGATGAAGAGTCAGAAATGTGGTCAGTCTTCATTGTTGATGTAAGCATCCCACATCTACTGTCTATATACTTTCCAATTAGCGATTCTTTTTCCGAAGGATTGATAATGAATTACATTTAAAAGATCGTCTGTGTACATATTTGTAGCAAAAAGGTCAAAGGATATGACAACTAGGAAGATACAAGTATATTGCTAATAGTTGTTGGTATGTTGAAGGAGATTAGACAGATTAACCTTTACTTTTTTTAACATCAGTTCACGTATTTACTAGATAAGTTACAAATGTGCCTATATGTTCCCAAAACTTCTGAAACATTTTTTATTGTCTACAATGTAGAACATGACTAAATAATTTATTAACCAATTGTAGATTTTGTTGCCTGGGTTTTCAATGAAACATCAGAAATGCTTTGCTTTGCAGTCATTCAAAGATGCTTCGTCATCGAGTTATGATCTTTCACTTGTAAGTTTATCTTTAAGCTTCACTAAATATTTTAAAAACTAGGACTAAAGTTAAGCTTTCCAACAGTTGGTTTTTCATATTTTAGTTTACAACTTATATTTGTTTGAAGTACTTTTTGTAGTGTTTTTTAAATGTATAACTGAGTATTAGAGTCCGCTGTGAGATCTAGGAAATCAGATAATTTATTTTACTCTTTCCCAATCGATAAAGTCGATAATCTTACATATAAACTTACACTCTATCAATCTTTATTATTTTTCTAAATCACTAACATCTATTGTGTGTGTGGTGTTTTGAATATCCATTATCATTGTTTGATATGTCACTGCACAGTCTTAGTTCATTTTAGTTTCCCTTTGTTACTTTACACTTCAGTTTACATAAATCGATTTCCACTTTGTTTAGTTGTGGTTCCTTGATTTAAATACTCAACTTTCAGTTATTGAATAAGTGTTTCAAATGTTGTGCCCTCTAAGTAAATTTGAATAATAAATTCACAATTACGTGTAACCTTCAACTATCAGTTCTTGAATTGTTATTTCCGAAAGAAAGTACTTGAAAGTATTTTCTTATCACATCTCGTTTTATCCGTTGCTCTTAGTTCTGTAATGGCTCTCGTTCTCTGTTGAAGTAAACTATTTTTGATTCATTATTTTTCATTTTCAACTACTTCGATGCCTTCAGAATTTGTTGAAGCAAACAGATTTGAAGATATTAATTAGAAGGATAAGTTTATAAAAACTTTACACTCCACTAGATAGACAGTGTGCATTCAACCTCTTTTGAGTTTATTGTCGTTGCTTAGTAGACTAAATTAGTTAATGTCGCTAGTACTGATACTTTTTGATTTTTTCGGCTTGTTTTGTGATCGCAGTCACCTTGGTCAAATTATCTAACTTACATACATTAAGCTTATAAGATGACTAATCCTATGAACTCTGCAGCTATTTATTCTACATTGTCTCTTCGTCATTTATATCATGTATTCTGTTCCTCGACCTAGCAGTAGAATTAATAGAAAGTTGATAATCAAGATTACGACTTATTATCCTCCATTTTGTATTTATTCATTTATCTTCCTACTAAAAAGAGCCTAAAATACGCCGTACACGTTTATTATGTAGTAAATATAAACATAATAATAATGCTTTAAGAATGTTACATATAGTACATAACTTATTCAGTGTAACTGAAAAATTAAAACACCCAATTTTCTTTCTGATGCGAACTGATTTGAATTAGATTTTAACACTATAAGATCCAGGTTCACTGGTCCTGGGTCGGCGAGGTCGCGGATTCGCATTGTTGAGGAGTCCTATATTGTGATGAAATAGCCGTCCAATACTTCTTGGTTTTCAATGGTTGTCTATTTTAGCTCGATTCGTGAGCTCAATAATATTGTAATTAACACATTAGTAGTTTTACCTGTTTTTATTACTGATTTCAGTTTATTCGTACATTGAAGTCTCTTCTTACCATTGTTTTCTTTTTCGTTATGTAGTCTGTATATAAACAACAAATGAAGGATCATTTTGATTATATATCGTCAGCACTTAAAAATATGTTCACAAAAGGTACTTCATGTTATTTATGTTCCAAACGCTTCAAAATAACAAGAGTCATTACAGACCAAATTGTAAGTTGTATTGGGCTTTGTGATTGTTTCTCTTGTCAATTGTTTCTTTCTTGTAATTTCTTACACTGATTCTATCAAAAATTCCAGTTATTTAAATATGGTTACCTGTTTTGTGAGTTTAAATGGATTGGAAGCTGACTTCGTTTCATATAGAAGAAAGGTATTGTGAGAGAAATGGGTTTTCGCTCCAGTTATTTTGTGAGCGTTGGTTTGCTTTCAGTGAATTATATTAACGTTAAGTGATGAGTTTGTGAAAAAGATGAATTGAATTATTCTATGCAGTCGACTGAGCTAAATAGTATAACTGATTAATAGATTTTTTGTGTCCTGAACATAATACACTCACTTTTGTTTGCTTTCAAATCTCAACACTATGGTCTATCAAACTTCTCAACATTTCATTTCATTTTTTAATTATATCTTGCATTTTATTCCATTACAATCCAGATCTCTGAATGCAATCCTTGTGATTTATGTTCATTATGCTCAGAAGATCTATCAGTATATCCCACATTTGATTGGCTTATGCGTTTTGAACATCACTGGTCCAGTTCTACCTCATCTAGTGTGAACAATGAGGAAATTGTTGATCTAACTGATGAAACGGATTGTGGAAATTATGGCATTTTGATTCTTCTGTGTAGCCCTGTTTCCACTGCTCTTCGACTTTGTATAAATCAAATTCAAGAGTATTTGGTAAGTTACTGTACAATCTTGGGAAAGTTTTTGCTCTTTACTATACTATTGCCATTGATTTGCCAACAATAATTCTGTATATGTTAAAAAGTTAATTCTGTTAGCCTCCAGTTCTCCATCACCTTACATCCTACTTCAAGCAGTTAAAACGTGTTCTTGGAGCATATTCTCATCAGAATATACTTGTTACACTATTCTAGAATCTCTCATATCCTGAATCTAATTCCTTAATCTATCCTCCTGTGATACTTAAAATCTGCTTGTTATACGATTTTTGAACCATAGAGACATTATTAAATGTAATTCTAATATCATTAGGGTATGTTCATAGCATCATATCATTTTGTATTTGTGAGATGGCAATAGTTGTAGAATCAGTCACCCTAACGCATCATCTTATTAGTTAAATTTCTTGTTGAGAACTTACTGCCTAGTTTGCAATGCTCACTATCGACTACAAAAAAAATCCCGAAATTCGTCCCACCAAGATCTTCATTTTTATTTATTTATTGAGAATATAGAACCCAAAGTCACTGCTAAGATAAATTTCAAACCTTATTGTCTGCATAACACTGTGACGTCTACTGTTTACATTACGTGCATATTGGGTGTATAAACATAATGTAGTCACCTATAAACTAATAAAAACATTGGTAACTTGAACATTTTTTAAATGATCTTTGTAAAAACAAATCAGTTTAAATTTTTTTTATTTTACGAAGTGTTTTGTTACTTTGTATGGTTTTCGTGTGTCTGTTGAGTTTAGTATATCCAATATTTTATAGCACCCGATGTGTTTATCCTTATCCATAGGCTCAATTGGAACAAATTCTTCAATCACATGGGAACCGATTAAATGAAATCATTTCAAGCGTGAATCAATCGTTAATTCAACAACTACCAAGCTGTTTGATGGATTTCATCAATAAGATGTGCAGTTCACAAGATCCATCAGTTCTTACCAATCATTCTGACTTAACCTATGAACTCTGCAAAATATTGTGTGTTTTCCTTACATTCAAAGTGAATTTGTTGCCGTGTATTCAATTGATCGAACATATTTTATCATCACTATGTGTATTTAACGATATTAACGAGAATACTCTACAAAAATTAGGTTCTTAATGTGTTTTTTTTTTAAGTAACTCTATTTAAAGCTTGTTTACCAAACAGTCACGTTTAGCTATTTACAAATTTTTTGATCATTGTTGTTTTTTTATACATTATTTGTCAGCGTTTGTTTTATTATATAAGTTGACGATTGTTGTTGGTAAATTTTGATATTTCTATATCAGTACGTAAGTAATAATAGATCTGGTTAACATGGTTCTTTGTTTATTACCTTTTCTTTAATATTCATTATCTTAACTATTCATAGTTTTCCACTTCTGTGTATATGCATCATCTGTGTTTTTTTCATATACCTGAGTATATGGGCAGATGATGATATACAGATATCCAATTGCATTTGTCTTTACTTTTTCACGTTATTTCATCTGTTTTGCCACATATTTTCAACTTCGTTTGTATTTTTACTGCTTTTCTTTCTTGTAACTCATTGTGAAATTGTCATCATTTACATACTTTTAATTTATATATATCTACAAGACTTTTATTAATACTGATCTGAAAATTAATAAAGTATTTTATTCAGTTGTGCGTAACATATTATCATCTTTCTTGGTCAGAAATAAAGTACCTAAAATAATGGCGTGTTGTATAATAGGCAGCTTTCTGTCATCGAAATACTGAATTCTTAAAATTTTATGCCATACCATGTATGTATAGCTTGCAAAATATTAATCTTTTAGGTAACACCAACGTGACTAGGTGTAATATCTAACGTTCTTATAATAGAACCTAACATATGTAAGCACATTGGTTGAATTTCCCAAACCCAATTAACACAGTAAGGTGGAATTGTCAAAACAAATCCCAGAGTAGTACTTGTAGCAATAGTGTTAGTGGTAATAGAAAAGATTGGGCATCGAAGATATGATCCAAGAAAATATCAGTTAGTGGAATGAATAAATTTATAGGGTGATTTGTAAATATACAGCTTAAGGCAAGACTAAAAGTGAATGCATCTGCGCCATCGCAAACGATTCTGAGCTATATTAGCCAAAATATCTAACCACTAGGATAACCATGCAGAATCCAACCAAGTACTCTTCACCTACTTATATTTTTCAGTCCAGAAGTCAGTATCTTCACGGACATTTCAAAAATGCTGGGATTGCTGAGAATATGAAGTGACCTATTACGTATACATAAATTCGGATTTTTAAAGTCTATGTTACGTAGTGGTCTGATTGTTAGAACTTGTCGTTTGGATGATTATTGTCTTGGCTCTTTTAATGTTACTTTTTGTATCTGGTCGTCGCTGATTGTTATGTCGGAAACACTTATCACTTATACTCGGAACGAGGGACCTCTGCAATTCCCACGACGCGAAAGTAAGAACACAAAGACTGGTATAAGTGAAGATTTATTAACCCCAAAACACTATGACGACTCTAGTAGAAAATACACTCATTTAAATACTGATTGTACACCCATTTTGATTAATAATTAGGATGAAATCACATGTATGAAAAATACTTAGAGTTATAACAATTCACATACTGAGCATAGTTCATGTCAATTGAGTACAAGAATATCGCATATTATACAGAATAAAATATTATGCGAGAAAAGAAAACAAATACGACATTGAGTAATCATTACATTGAATTCAAACGGAAGTGATCTTGAACAAAACGCATAATGAGTAAATCAATCGAAAATTGACTTTCCCTTCCATCACATCACTGATCTGTTTACTTTTTCAGTAAATTATATATTTTACATCAGACTTGTTTACTTCGCTTCTCATAAGTCACCACTTGGTCATGTTAAAATACCATAATCCATTGATATATGTGTAAATTACCTTGGAAAGTTTTACTATGGCAATAAAATGTCACTACTTACAATTGTCATACTCTATGATTGAATCCGAATTGCTTTCGATCACACAGCTTTCTCTAAAGTGTACAACTGAAAATTCATAATTTATAAAAAAAATCAAAACTAACGGATAGTTATGCCTTATGATCCAGTTCTGTCTCAATCATAATTCTAAACTTCTAGATAATCAGCTATCCAAGTAATAAAACCCAAATCAAGTTTTATTATCATAACCCTAATGATTATCGTAACTGATTCATATATCTAGATTTTGTTAAACTGATGGGGTTAACTGGCGGATAACCTTGACTAGTGATAAGTCTTGCAGATTGAACGCTACATTCGTCTCCTAAGCTATTCTGTAACCCCCTAGCTAAAACTAGACGGCAACCTGAACACGAGAGAGAAGACTCAAAATATGCAAGAGGTAGTTTACTCCAAGGTTCATTTTAATACAGAAAATATAGGGTTTTTATAATATTTTTGGATGTCCTTGGGTTGCTCGAAGATTCTGGGATGCTACTAAACATAGTAGCAGTACAGCAACCAGCCAATCAGAACCTTTACATGTGACGTTTCGCTTCCTTCATATTTTTGGCAAAAACTCCAACTGAACGCTGAGTGGAGGAAAGGCTTCTTAGTGTTTCCTGATGCTTGCTTGTCTCTTGCGAGAAACTTGCCGGATCACCCCAACAACTAGTTAAATTAGAACAACACATATAAGCGAACAATTGTTTTCAATTAGATCGTCATCAGGCTTTACTCTAATATACATGAATATTTATACGAAAATTTTAAACCAATCAAGGCAATATGGGTCAATCATCACAATGAAACAGAATTAGTCTCTACACATAATAGGTAAAAGTACAAGTTGATAGTAGTAGGAAGACAGGTGAACTGATAATAGTGAGAATAATAAAAAATACAATAACAAAACTCTTATCAATAGTTAGACGTTGGAAATAGAAGGTCAAACAAACATGGGTAAATAGAATATGAATAGTAATCACAAAACATTTAAATCATTACGTAATAAGATGTGTGTAAATAATTAGATAGTGAAGAATACAAAGAGGCGGAAAATTACAAACAAATAATGGATGTGGAAATAAATATTTATCCCTTGCTCATAATATACTGGCGACTGTAGCTTCTCATCCAGCATGTGGTATGTCCGACTTTGCCTGACCTAATTATATTCAGTAATTTCCTAAGATTTTTGTGTGATTAATAGTTTAATGTATTTGATATGGGAGTGAGTTTTTTTTAATGCTGGACAATTTCGGGGATCCTTGGTGTAAAACGATAAGCTGTACTGGGTTTGTTACAGTGTCTGGTAGGATGAGTCTGAATAAAGGCCTTGATAGTCAATCACGACTAGCACAAGATCAAAGTTAGTAAAAGTTTCCCGACTACCATCCGAAACTAAATACAATTTACATGAATAGTTGGCCAGTTGTATCAGTAGCCATACCATATTCTTGATTGATGTGATTCGATAATTCGGCTGTCCGTTGACCAATTTGGATACATTAGATCCCTTCTGTCTATTCTCTCTAGTATACTCTTCGTTCCATTATGTCTAAATAGGTGTGTTTCTCCGCTTTCTTAACGCGATTTCTCCGTTTCTTTCACTTCATAAGTATGCTGGAAATGATAGCTTTACTCATATTTGAACTATTCAACTATCTTTCTTGATAGTACTTATCAGTAAAAAGGGAAATTTTCATTCTATTTCACCTTTGGCCTTTTTAGTGTTTTGAAATCAAACCAGATAAATAAAGTGGATTATTAATAATAATGAAAGCATGGCGTTCTGCTCTTTGTGTACAACAAATGACCATACTCACTATAGATTTTAAAGTCACTTCAACAAATTTGTTTAGTTTAATAATTTTTAGTATCATTTCTCTTATTATCTATTTTATTTGAACAAAATGGAAAATAAATTTAATAAATAGATACTAAACTATGAGCTACTTTTTAGATTTTCAACTACAGTTAGTATAAACATCATTATGGTGTTTTTTGGTGGAGTTTTGTTCGCTGAGCTAGATAGAAGTTTGTGCTGATGATGTCGTTCAGAAGAACGATGAAAGCTCCACGACCAAACCATTCAGCTCAGAGAACAAAACTCCACCAAAATCATCCACCTGAGCTACAAGTCTTCTCCACCATCTCAAAATCATTATGGTGTTTCACAGTTAAGCTTTAAGTTCACATCGAACCTCACGATTATTGTGAAAAGTGTTGTAATATTTACAGTTTGTATTACTTTAGGTCGTATTGATACTCGGACTCGAAAATATTTAAAGATTAGTCGCGTCCATATCGACTATATGGTTTTGGTGACTTCTAAAAGGCATCTAGGAAGCGCTCTATACAATTGCTATTAAAATTAATAAAATTCTAACGACTAATATTAGCGCCTCTATGAAGTTACTGTTTAAATGAAACTTTGTATTTTTATGTATAAGTGACCTTCAGAAAAATATTTTTTGGGATATTCTTATCGTTTCTATTCGCCGCAAATTTAAGGTTTTACACTCTTTTTGAGTAGGTTTATTCCTCTATTCTTTGATTATTTTCCCATGCAACCACATAAGCTCCAGTTTGCCTACGAATAAAAAATCAGATGAGAGTATATTCTTGTTGTTCACATTTTAAATGTATTCCACCTTTTTATTTCCACACTTTCATAGATAAAATTATTTCACAATGTTTAATTATCTGCTATTAGGTAAAAATGTATTTTTAAATAGACATTTTGATACTTACTAAATTGAATAAAAAATTGATTCGGCCTCTTGATTTTCTACAATACTTATTTTACTACTTAATACTATCAAAGTAGTTACATTATAAGCAAAGATGAATAGTGGCAAGCAGTGGAATACAGGACGCGCGTTTCGTCCTATTTGGGACTCGTCAGCTGGATGTACCTGCATCTGAGAGTTGATGTTCACTCTGGGACTCGAACTCAGCACCGTTCGCTTCAAATGCCATCGCGTTATTCACTTAGCTACTGAGTCCTGATAGCCACTTGCTTGTGCAATGGGGTGAAGTTTAATTCACTTGATATTGTTTTACTTGAATCTTCCCATTGATGTGTTACGACTGAAATTGATCAGTCTCTTATTGGCATATGTGCATACTGTGCGTATGCTTCGATATTGTCTTAAGTTACAAGCATTATAAGCAAAGATGGATAATGGCTGATCAATTTCAGTCGTAACACATCAATGGGAAAATTCAAGTAAAACAATACCAAGTGAATTAAAGTAGTTACATCTTTACAGGTATTTTTTACCCAAGAAATGATGTATCCTGCAGATTCAAAATTATACTATCAAACAACTAAGACAGATGTTAATAGATTTTTTGGGAGATACTGAATGCCAAACATTTTTGTTATATTTTACCTTTCAACCTACCATGGGTGTTTTTACTGGATATAAGTGGATAACTTTTATTTACTTGATACAAGGAGAAATGTAATAAAATATATTTGTTACATATAAAAATTTGCAAAATATACGTGAATTTGTTTCCCTAATTAACAGAAGCATGGATGGATTCGGACTTTTGATAAGGCTAATCGTATTCACAGCCAAGAAAGTAATCTGCAATAATTCCACTATTTCTTCACTGTGTGTCTAATTTTAAATGGTTCAGCAGGTAACTATTTTAAACTTGACGTTTGACTTGGCATGCATTAAATACAAAAGCATTCTGGGAGTAATATTCATATCAGTACAAATAATAAGGC